ATAGAATATACACTTATTACAGGATTATTATGTTTATCTGAATTACCTGAAAATATCTGAAAATAAAAATAAATTATGAAATAAAATAGAATTAAATCTAATTTAATATGATCTAATCAAATTAAACTATGTGGAGCAGTGAACGCACTCCCAAATCGGTGTTTTTTGTTAGATGTTGCAGACAAGTTTTTTAAGATATTTAGAAAAATTGAATTTCTGACTTTTGTTACGTACTTTAGTTATCATACATTTATGAATATAGGTATATATATTATATATCCAATATATGATGCTGATAGATGTATTCACTTCTCTTGGTACTTCCCAAGTGCCATGCTATTTTTTATTTATTGTTTTAGAATTCTGGAGTCTGTCAGGGAAAATATAGAACCATCAGTGTTAAAAAGAAAGGATTTGCTGACAAGAAAAGATATTCATAATATAAAATGTACATATAATATCGATATTAACAGTGGAGTTAGACATTCCATTGATAGTGTGAGTGTTGGTTGTTGGGTCGAAGAATTTCAGAAAAAAGGATCTAACACTGTGTTTTATAAAAGTCAGGGAGCTGAACATGATTACTTAAATAAACATGATCTATGTTTAATTTTCATGAATTCAACTCAAGAATATATGTTGAAAACTTATGGTAATGGTGGTGTTATATGTGTTGATAGTACACATGGGCTTAACAGCTATGAGTTTGAACTCACTACAATATTAGCAGTTGATGAATGGGGTGAAGGTTTTCCTACAGCCTGTTTATTTACAAACAGAAAAGATTCTGAAATTTTTAAATTCTTTTTTGACAAAATTAAAGAAAAGGTTGGAATTATCTCAGCCAGAACTTTCATGACGGATATAACGAATGTTTTTTATAATGCATGGTCTGCAAGTATGGGTGCTGTAACTTATCAGATATTTTGTTCCTCGCACATTGAAAGAGCCTGGACATCTAATTTAAATAAAATTTCTGACAAAGAAAAACGAGAAAAGGTACATGTAGCTTTAAAAGTTATTCAGACTGAACTTAATGAAATTAATTTTCTTAAGGAAATACAGAATTTTGTAAATATGTTACAGAACGATCCAGATTTAATTATGTTTGGAAAATATTTTGTCGATAATTATATAAATAGATGTGAACAGTGGGCATATGTGTATCGTAAATCAGCAGGTGTCAACACAAACATGCATTTAGAGTCTATGCATAAGTGCATTAAATATTTTCAACTTGATGGGAAAGTTGTTAAAAGGCTGGATAAGGGAGTTCATGCCGTAAATCTCTATATTAGAGACAAAATTATTGATCGCATGATCAAGCAAATCAAAGGGAAAGACACAAGTCATTTGAGAAATATTGAAAAGAGGCATGAAATAGCATTGAAAAGTTCTTTCCAAGTTAGTAATAATTATGAAAATGTTTGGTATGTAATAAATAATGGACAGCAATATATTGTTTCTAAGAAACCAACGCACATTTTATCTTGTTGTGAATTAAAGTGTGTTAAATGCAACATTTGTATTCACACATATGATGTACTGCGTTGACTATTTTATAAAGGGAATCATGTGCAAACATATTCATTATATTGCTGTACCACAAAATAAAAGGGACAATGATACTGAAGTAAATGTAATTCACTCTAAGAGTATCAGCAGCAGTACCATCGGCGAAACTGAATTACAACCAGGTACAAGCAGTATTGTTAGGGCTCACAAAGGACAAGATAAACGGGACTTACTTAAACAATATGGCCAAGAGCTTACTGAACTTGATCTAACTCATGTTGATGACAGTATAGTAGAACATGCTTTAAAAGTTCACAGGAACAGCATAAATTTATTAAAAAGTAATCTACACCATGACATGCAATCTGCTGTAATTATAAACAATAAAGAACCAGCAAATAAGAAAATACGGAAGCAACAAAGCTTTTATTCTACTAAGAAAAAAAGAATGCTAAAAAAACCGAATATGCTACGAAACAGTGAGTTGTCATCAATGAAATCCGTTTTATTGTCTGAAAAATACATTTTAACAAACCCTTCTGATGAACATAATTATGCAAAAACTGATATAATTTAATTACAGTGTGTATATATTTTAATAAAACTTTTTGTAAAAACGTTTTTTCAAAAATTTATATTATTGTATCTGGTTTTACATTCATTTTAATTTATTCATTCGAATTTTCACTTGTACACATGGTAGGTGAAGTATGTCTTTCAAGGGAAAGTTAAAATTTCATCAATGAGTTATCCAAATAAATCTTTCAGGCTTCCTATATAAAGTAAATCCAAGTAAACCTTCATATTACTCTTTCTGCTTTTTAATATATTTGTTAACGATTTACAAACGGTAATTAACTCCGACCAATTTCTATTATTCGCTGATAACATAAAAATCTTCAGATCTATTGCTTGCCTCTTTGATTGTGAATGTTTTCAGTTGTCCTTAAATAATTTTTCACGTTGGTGTGAAGTAAATGTTTTAAACTTAAATCTAAAAAAATGTTTTAAAATCACGTTTAGTAAAACGCAGACTTCTTTTAATAATAATTACACACTTAATGGTATTGTTCTGCAAGAGATACATCAAGTACGTGATTTGTGTATAACACTGGATAGAAAACTGAGCTTTAATGATCATATTAATGACATAACTTCACGTGCCCTTAAAATGTTAGGATTTATCCAGAGAAATTCAAAGGACTTTTCAGTTTTTACGTTTAAAATATTATACTGTTCGCTAGTGCGATCAATTATAGAATACTGCTGTATTATATGGTGTCCTTTTTATAATACCCAGAAAACTCAATTATAAAAAGTTCAAAACAGATTTTTAAGGATATGTGGTTATAAAATGGGTTTAAGACGTGGAGATTATAATTACAGTTATATTCTTAATCAACTTAAAATGAACAAATTAGAGACAAGAAGAACTGAATTCGAATTATATTTTTTACATAAGCTTCTAAATGGATTTATTAATTGCCCTGAAATTTTGGGTTTAATCTTATTTAATATACCTACGCGAAGAACCCGTAATTCTGACCTGTTTTTTGTAGATTTCCATTCTACTAATTATGGAGTTAATGAAGTTATTTCTAGGATGTTACGTACGGCGAACAATTACCAAACAGATTTAGAATTATTTAATACTTCAACTGCATCATTTAAAAAACATGTTAAAAAACTGTTGTAGCTAGCTTATATATCTTACTGTATGTTATACATATTGTACACAAACTGAAAAAGGGTTTAGCCCGTCAATAAATAAATATTAATATCTAATTAGATTACACTCCCAATAAGGAAAAAGAAAAAAACTCAGCAGTATTATTTCTACTTCAATTATAAACTTCGTACTGAGAAACGTGTTTTAGTTTTTGAAATTAATGAAGTAAACAATATACCTCTATTCTATCAAATTCTATTATGAATCAGCTGACATTTTAAATTTCCTGGAGATGTCAATGTCACAGAACAAATAACAATTGTTTTCTGTCCTATGTCAATGTGATATGGAAGGTTATAACCAATGACGTATAATATATAGACTACGCAGTCCCCTATTCTCGCTATAGAATCAAGTCAGTGTCCGAAAGATCTCGGCTCAAGGTTGAAGGTATGTTTATCACAACAGCGGCGTGCTCATTTATATGTTAATGACAATAATTATTTTTTTAATTAAAATTAAATATTTATGATTTCTTTTTGTTCCCGTCTATAAGAGAAATAATTATTTTGATAAAATAGTATGGCATTTTACTAAAATAGTAAGTAAATAACTCTCAACAATTTAAAATAAAATTTGCTTGTCACACAAAATGGAGAAAATGTTTTCATACGTCCATGATGTTTTCAAACACAAGATCAACTTCGTGATGCTTCGTAAGAAATCATGAACTTCGTGCATCTTCGTATCAAAACAATAAACAATAACAAAGGTATTCATGTTTTGGACACTTTTTAAAGCGTTCACCGAGTCTATATATTATACGTCATTGGTTATAACACGACAACGTTGTAAATATTTTGACTCATGCGCAAAGAAGAGAGCACCACTGTGTCTTTAGCCGCTCCTCCTTTTCTCGCTATAGAATCGAGTGTCCGAAAGATCTCGGCTCAAGGTTGAAGGTATGTTTATCAGAACAGCGGCGTGCTCATTTATAAGTTAATGACAATAATTCGTTTTTTAATTAAAATTAAATATTTATGATTTCTTTTTGTTCCCATCTATAAGAGAAATAATTATTTTGATAAAATAGTATGACATTTTACTAAAATAGTAAGTAAATAACTCTCAACAATTTAAAATAAAATTTGCTTGTCACACAAAATGGAGAAAATGTTTTCATACGTCCATGATGTTTTCAAACACAAGCTCAACTTCGTGATGCTTCGTAAGAAATCATGAACTTCGTGTATCTTCGTATCAAAACAATAAACAATAACAAAGGTATTTATGTTTTGGACACTTTTTAAAGCGTTCACCGAGTCTATATATTATACGTCATTGATTCCTATATATTTTCAGAAAGAAGCAAATTCTGGAGCTGGAATTAGGGGATTTACAAAAGTCCCAGCTTTTATAAAATAAATAATTAGGGGATTTAAAGTAGGAATCGGGTGATTTACAGGATTCGTGAAAATCAATAAATAAAATTCTATGCTTCACCGTTTCATTTCTCTTCAAGTTGTATTTTGTATTAATTTTATTAAGTAAATATGTAAAGAATACGTACGTTATTCAGTTTTTGTTAAATTTATTCAAATGATCGCTATTGTACTGTTTATGAAATAAAGGTATAAAACAACAATTTTTTTATATAAATGTTATTATATTAGTGAACTATCAATACATCCCATAATTTTATTCAGAAATAGGCAACCATATATACATTTATTCCAATCTAGGGATTTCTAGGGATATTTAAATGTTCAATTTAGGGAGGAGAAAAATTTTCACCTGGCAGCCCTGTGTCCTATGTCAATGATCAGAGATGTGATCAGGGTTGGTTGTTGTTAATATTATGGCTGAATTTCATTTTTAAGTAATAATTATATTCTAAATGTAACAGCTGTGATTTTAAAGTAACTGTTGCAGTTTTTCCAATTATAATAATGTCTTTGGAACAAACAGCGTGTGAAGGTATTAAGATTCTGTTTACAGTAACATTATGTTTACCTATAAAATAGATGTTGTTGCAGATTTAAAAGCATTTGAGAGGCGTTTGACTGAAGTTATAGCATGTTTACATCCCTCTACAACTAGATGGAGAAGTAAGATAAGTTTTTTTTTTAATTAAGGTTATAGTGAGAGTCAAATGAAGGCCTCATTTTTATAAATTTAGATTAGTAACTGGCTTCCGGACTTCACATTGCTTTCCAATCAATATTATAATATAGTTTCTCTTAGGGACTTACCTTGATTACTTGAACAAGTCTTAGACAAATATTGTGTTTATATGGAATTAACCATTTAAGCCACAATTGTTTGTAAAATTAATTACATTAAATTATGTAAAATTAATTAATTAGTTACATTTTTGACTAACTAAAATTTGACGTTTCGATTTTCACTCCCGAAGTCGTTAAGAATTTTATTACAAAAAATAAAGGGTGTTAAATAATATTCATAAGCAGTCATGAAAATTTTACTTCTTTATCCAGAACTTTTGTACTCTGTCTGGTCCTGGAGATTTTCAGGTATGAAGTTCTTCTATTCGATACTTCTTCACTAGGGAAGAGTTCTTAGGGAGTTTTACATTGTGTTGACAGTTATGCTTCTTATCTTCAGTCCAACTAGCTTTGGGTATTACAAGTTAAATTCCATAAAACTCATGAATGTCCTCCGGGCTTGGGTAAAATTTATTAGCTCTTTTTACAGTAGAATTTCTGTTGTGACTGCCTCACAATGTTCAGCATTATTTCTTAAGCTCTTAATCAGTTTTCTACTTCTCATTCCTAAAATATATTCTGTAATTTGTCCAATATCTTCCTTATTCAACATTTTTCCCAGGCTGCTCTTCTATTATCATTTCTTCCAGTATTAAAACAATGTCATGTTTTTATGTTAATCGCCCATAACCATTTGCAATTTCTGTTGCTGCACAATAAATCAACATTGCACCAGTATATAAGCTACTAAGTATGTGGGTTCATAATCTCTAACAACATGAATAATTTTTTACATTTTATTATTGGTAACCATGGTTGTCTAAGTGAGGTAGTCTTAGTTATACTGGGTATTTTGATTATTTATTTGATCTGCAATTTCCTGCTGATTATTAAGCATGTGTTGAACTTTGCTTTTGAAAGTATTGTATGTATGGACTCAGGTTACTTTTTATGTTGACTCTAAATTCTACAGAATTTTTTTATTTATTATAAGGGAAAACCTCATTAATAGACTAAATCACAATAAGTGTTTAGGTTTAGTGCAAAAATAAATATTTTATCTTAGTAATACTTTCATATAAATAAAATATTACAAACTTAACTACAAATCACCCTTATTTTAACATTAAATTGAAAAATAAGCATTCTTAATAAAAAAACTACAACAAAATGCTTCTTTTAACACTTTGACTCCTATGTGTATGATACATAATACACAACAGGTACTCTCCCTGAGCCTATGTGTATGAATTTGTTACATGAGAGTAGAACACATTCAAGCTACAGTTTATGTGGTCCGAACACAGTTTTAGTGTATTTATATGTATGTTATCATTCCTTTAGGCTGTGGTATCCAATTTTCTTAGGCCAACTGAAGCAAACAAAATGACAGAAAGTGGAAAGGTAAGTTAATAGTTATGTATATAAGTCAACCTAGAATTCAAGATGAACAGATGAATTTGCTAATAAGCAAAAGTGCATCTGAAGTTCTAAGAAGAAGATCTAAATAATATAGATATGGTAAATCCTCATATAGAGAATTTACAGGCAAATGTTATATGGAACAATGTTGATAGAAATTTGAGTACATTCGACGTTATATATGAAAATACTTCTTTTGGCACAGTTGTAGAAAGTAGGGAAAATGATCCATTTTAAACATTTCATAGACTGCTCCTAACAGACGAGATAATCGATATTCTAGTGCAGGAAACAAATTAACGCAGAACATTTTTGGGAATTTTAATATGGATGGGTTTGAATACAAAACCACAACTACGAGATTACTGAAGTACTAATTTTATCCATCATTCCTTAATATATTTGACAACAAACATGTCAAGATGTAGATTTGAGGCTCTTCTTGCTTGCTTCCATTTTTCAGATAATGAAGCTTGCCCTGAAGGAAGCAGTTTGTTCAAAGTTGAACCATTGTTGCAGGCGTTCAATAGAAGTTTTCAACTTGCTTTTTTACCAGGCAAATACGTTTGCATTGATAAATGGAAGATGTTTGTCATTTTTACAGTACATAACTGCCAAACCTAATAAATATGGCTTAAAAGTTTTCAAACTCTGCCGAAAAGGCGGCTACACATATCACACAAACACTTATGGCGGAAAGCAAAATAGACCAAAGGAACAATCACTAGCATCCCTAGTGGTCATGTAATTAATGCAACCTTTTCTACACTTAAAAAGAACTTTGGTTACAGACAATTTTTACACTAGCGTTAGTTTGGCACACGAACTAAATGATAACAATATTCATCTAATTGGAACACTTCGTAAAAATAGGAAATACATTCCTAAGTCGGTGTTTGAAGCATAGCTAATTCAAGAAGATATGATGGCACTACAGAGCAACACAAAAGTTATTATAGGAAAATGGATCGACAAAAGAGAGGTAACATTTTTCACTACAAATTCTTGTGGACGAAAAAGAAATGGTCGACATACATACAAAATCAGGAATAAAAAGAAAACCGTCTACAATAGTAGAATATAATTCTGTTAAATCTTACATTGATGTCTCTGATCAAAAAGCTTTCTACAGTAATCCCATCAGATGTTCTATAAAATGGTATCAGAAAGTAGAAATAGTGTTATTGACAAATACAGCCGTAGTGAATGCTTAATTCTGAACAACAAAGCTTTGAACAAAAAAATGGATGTAACACAATTTCACAAAGAATTAGTGACTGCCGTTTGCAAAGACAATAATGTTACAAAACCTCAACAAACACACCATAGGCTGGAAGAATGTGACAAAAGAGGATGATGTGTTATATTTATGTTACAGCACACTGTTTGGTCGTGCACATGCATCTAAGAATTCCAAACAGTGCAACACCAGGTGTACTGGTACTGAAAGCAGAGAAAAAAAAATTATTTGTGACATTTGTTTCTTTAAAACACATAATGTATATTTACAATAATTGGTTTAGATGTTTGCTTATGTTTTTTCTTAATAAAGTTTCATAAATAATGTGTATCAATTTAAATATATATATATATATATATATATATATATATATATATATATATATATATATACAGGGTGGTGAATCGTCAAACGGTCCATAGGAAACTCAATGGGAAATTCTAAATTGTTGAATTCCTGCTTCCCTAATTATTTTACACCCAAAGTCATGGGAAACTATTTGTAGAGGACTCAAATATGTATCGAAAACAACTGTTAAAATTATTCTACGACTTAAAGGTATTCCAAAATTTTGCTAAAATATAATACATTTTTCTGTGAAAAAATGTGTATTACGTGTTGCGTTTTGTCATATTATTGTTTCTGATATTTGACAATATTTAAATCAATTATATTACATTTATCTATGATTTAAATGGCCAAAATTTTGTGATTTATTGTTAAAAAAAAAATTAAGTTGATTAAAAAATGTACTCAGTTGAGGAGAAAAAAGCAATAATAAAAATTTTTTATTCATGTTTTATTATAACACTTGTTATAGTTTTATGTTTATAAATTATCATATATTATTATTAGAAATAAAGATCACAGTAACAGTATATTGGAATTCATTGAATTGTTGTATAACTTAACATGGAATTAAATTTTAGTGAATTAGAATATCTTACGTTAAATAAAGATCCGGTAGTGGCAGGAAAAGGTTCGCGCTATTGCCTGAGTACAACATTATGCGATTTTTCGTCAACTGAGTACATTTATATTGATCGATTTGTAAACAATATAATTTATTGTTCACAAAGTAATAATGTTCATTAGTAGTAGTATTTAGTAAAACTCATTGTTTATAATTTAATCATAAAATAAAAAAATTGACAATTCAAATTGTCAAACATCTGACATAAATATGATAAAACACAAACGTAATAATATATATTCTTGCATTACGTGTGGCCTAACTTTTAGGGGTGGCCTGAAAAATGTATTATATTTTAGCAAAATTTTGGAATACGTTTAAGTCGTAGAATAATTTTAACAGTTGTTTTCGATACATATTTGAGTCCTCTACAAATAGTTTCCCATGACTTTTGGTGTAAAATAATTAGGGAAGCAGGAATTCAACAATTTAGAATTTACCATTGAGTTTCCTATGGTCCGTTTGACGATTCACCACCCGGTATATATATATATATATATATATATATATATATATATATAATATATATATATATATATATATATATATATATATATATATATATAATATATATATACGGTATAGGTAATGACATTATGAAAAGTCGTCTAGGTGAACTGCATGTGTATCAAAAATAAACGCACCCTACTTAGCCCTTTTTAAATTAAAAAAATGTCATTATATGAATTAACACATACATATGGAGCATTTTATTATAGAACATGAAAAAAAAGTGGCCAGGCTGTGACAACTTATGTGGATAATAAGGGTCGTTGAAGTTATTTTAAAAATATTAATAATTAAATTGTTTACCAAGACTGAATATCTTTCCAAACGATTGTTAATACCAGAAAAGGTTCTATAGAATGGAACATAAAATGTTGACTGGCAACAAAGCCTCAGCTAGGTTGGTGCATTAATGTAGATGTCACCCAATAGAGCAGTACAGCAAATGCCACCAATATCATCATCAATTAGCCTATATTTGTCCACTGCTGAACGTAGGCCTCCCGTAAAATTTTCCACCTATTTCTATTTTGAGCTTCTTGCATCCAGTTTGTGGTGATGCGCTTGATATCATCCCTCCATCTAGTCGATGGTCGTCCTCTGCTTCGACATGCATCTTGCCTTGGTCGCCATTCCAGAATCTTTCTGGTCCATCTAACATCCGTTAATCTGGCAACATGTCCGGCCCAAGCCCATTTAGCCATGGCTATTTTTTTAACTGCTGTGACTCCTGTTCTTTTT